ATTGGTAGAATAGTTAAGTCGTCACCTTGTAATTATGAAACTTGATGGTGTGAGCTTATATCCTTCTAAAAGTTTTATCTGTTTTAAAGTTTCAGATACTTTTTTACTGACGGGTTACAACTGACACATGATGTTCAAAGCCGACAATAAAAACAAGAAATGAATTGCAACGTTGAGTGACGGACATTCACTAAGTTAGATACTACCATGTTCACTACAGTATACACAATCTTGGCGAGAACTATGCTTGAGAACTGCGTTCAGGCTGCAAGCCCCTGTTTAAAAGGTGACTCGGATATTCTGTAAAAAGTACAGAGGGCAGCTACCCGTACAATTCTAAAACTCCGGGGTTTACTATACAAAGAGCGGTTGAAAAAGCCGGACCTCTTTACTCTGTTCTATCACAGACTAAGGGGTGATCTATTTTGATCTTTAGAATACTAAGAAATGATTTTGAACCCAACATATTCTCTCTTTTTCTTCCCACTATATCGGGACATCTCAGAGGACATAGCAGGAGAATAGAAAACCCAAGAACGAACAAAATACCCGTGGCATACACATTTTCACACTGAGTCATTAATACTTGGAACCTTTTACTCGAAGCAGTGGTGTCCGCACCTTCGATTGACTTATTCAAGAGAAGACTGGACACTCACAGAAGCATACTAGAAAAGGAATAACATAGACTGTAGGTCTTCTGTTCTTACTACACAAATCTGAATCTGACAGTGTGGTAGTTACAGTGCAACTTGGTCCATAAACTATGGTCAGTGCTTAAATCTAAACGACATCATACCAGTTACCGATCAATTATCAATGATCGATATTTATATAAATGTTTACGAATTTTTCAAATATCAAAATTATTGTGAACCAATGTAGAACCTGATGAGATCGGCAGATAGATAAATAATAAAACCTCTAGAATAGATACTACTCCGGTCAATAAAACATCAAACATGTACGGTCCGTTGTACTTTTTTATTGTTTATTCATTGTCTAGGTAATGAACTAAAATTAAGTAGATCTTCTGTAGGTATGGATTTAGCCAAACATTTAGAATTGGGAAATTAAAAAAAACTTAAAACAACGACATATTTGTGGAGTATGATTTATGAGAATCTTTAGGAATGTTTTAAATCATAGAAAATGATAATGAACAAGTGTAATGCTACAAATGAAGGGGACTCTAGTTAATGTATCCTAAATTACTTAAATTTATACTATGGACATTGTAATTGAGGTGTAGTGTGATTTTACTATTTGATTTTAACACAAGGTCAGCTGTTAATAAAGTAAATGAACAATACAAAAGAAATCATGATCATTAATCGTACACTAAGACTTATATACACACAATATGTACACAAGCACATAAACATTTAACTAAGTTAACTATAATATGAATGATATATCTTTATTACCAAAATGGAAGGCATGGATTCAGATTATTATTATTATCATCATCATTATGTGTTGTACTTGTATGTATATGTATATATACACGAATGTATGTGATTGTGTGTGTGTGGGTGTGGGTGTCTAGACAACAAAAGATCAAAACTAAGAAGAGAACAACAGAAGCAACAACACATAAAAGAAATATTATTGGTTTCATGATCATCTGTTACTCTTCGTCATTCTATCTTACTTTTAAGTAAATTGTCATTTTGGCGCCAATAAATGTCAAACAGTACATAAAAGTGGTATATATATATATATATCTATATATACACACACGCACATATATGTATATGCACATGCACATATGTACACTTTTAACTTACTACTACAGTTGTCTAGTTTATAGATTTATCATTGGTTTATTGCCAGATAGAAGAAAGATAAGCAGTGTAAAAATATGACGTTTTTAACCTCATTTCAAAAACAAACAAAAAAATGGGCAATGGGCAACTGTTAAATACATTTAAAGATAATTCAAATTAATTGTAAGATTTCATTAAGGAAAGCATCAAGTCAAGGAAGTATATCAGAAAGATATAAAGAGTGATGTGTACAATTTCAGTTTGTAATAAGTCTAACTGAGTATTATAATTTTAAAAAATTGTCAAGACTAAATATTACATTTGGACTTCACTTATATAACATTCAATTGCTTACATGTATAGGAATTGTTCTACTTAATTTGAAAGGTTTAGATTTAAAAACTGCTGAGGAGTCTCATACTAAGTAAGACAAAGATGTATCGGTTAGGTATTCGTCTAATCAACATATTTTAAATTTAAATTTTTTGATTGAGATCATGATTCGATTGATGTTAGACCACCATTGAAAACCTGGAAGCATTGTATGGCCATTCCATTCTAGTATGGGATTCCTCAGCAGTGCTCATCCACGATCCCGCTCCCGCTCCCGTGATTATAACCCAGGACATTCGATCTCGCGCGCAAGGTAGATATTTCAGACAATTGAAGATGGTCGCGCAACTTCATGTGACTGGTCAGAATCAAACATTAACACCGTTAGATGGCGACTGAGTGGTCTAGAGGTTAAGGGTTCGCGTGCGTGCTTCCGGGTTTTCAAAGGTGGCCTAACATCAATCGATTCATGATCTCAATCAAGAACTTGACAATCTCCACAACCCTATACTGTTAAATGTTAGTTAATGGTTAGAATTTCCTAGGTTTGAGTTTCATACTACTTACTATTTATCAACAACGTATTTTTGAGATTTTGAAGGAGCTGTTGATCTCTTTTTATAATTTGAATCATCCTTTTAAAATCACTTACATTTATGTTTGTATTGCTACCTGATCCATAGATTATGAACATTATTAAAAACTAGAAATTATGACTATGTTTACAAATGATGAACCAGTCTACATAGGAAATCAGTGAAAATCAGAGAGAAGTAGACATCTATGTCATCCCAATTTTTTATTTTTCATCAATTTACACATACAACAGCACCAATGATACAACTCAGTGGCATTAAATATTTAGAATTTCAGATTCAGTCAACTTATAGAAAACAGAGATTATTAGCTTCAAAAACGTAGTCCATGTGAAACTAGTTTGGTAAATATTACTCATTTCAAACTAGACAAGATCGTCCTATTGTAGTGAACGAGAATTCAAGTGGGGGCAACCAAACGAGTTTGGACACAAAATTACAGAATCTCTTAGTAAAATCTGAGAACCATACTGTAAATAATTCATTAGCAAAATATCAGTCTCAGACTTCATTGTTCCTTCGTTTCCACATTTAATCATTCACTGTTCTCATTCTCTTTTCTTCGATCTTCTTAACTCTCTACTACCAGGCATTTAACTTTCAACTGATGATACTTATATCTATCGACATCTCTAGCACACACCACGCTATGATAGTTAATATTGATCTCGATGAAAATAAAAGCTTGTCGTGCATGACTGTCGATCTCTCAATTTCAAAAATAGCTCAAACGTACAAAATGTCAACATAAGGATCACAGGCTAAAACAACAGGGGACTTCAGGAGATGAAGAGACTGGAAAATAAGCTTAGTTTAAAATTAAGAATATTCAAAGTAATAAACGAAGCAAGTAAAATCCTGTTGCAATACTAATATTTTTCCTGAAAGAAAGTTTGCATCAAAACTTAAATATTGTTTTTCCCCACTAATGTTGGAAAGTGTCTCAACAGTTGGAACAGATTACTTATTCTAATCGTTGGTACCTAAAAACTGTTCACACTGTAGATTATTCACTATGATTTCAATTGTCATTGGAGTTACATAGAAAATACGACTGAAACAGTTTACTACAAAATAGAAATTTGATAAAATTTACTAATAATTAAAATAACCCATAGTGTCATTGAATAAGAAAAAGAGAATTCAGCGAAGAAAATTTTCTTTTCGACGAAATCATTTACTTAAGCTGTACATTCGTATATATAGTTATATGGAAAATGTATGTCTATAGAAGGATAGAAAGGATTGTATCACAAAAAATGGATTCGACAATAAATAACAAATGAGGTTAACTTACTAATCAAGGGGTAAGGAAGAACAAAATTTAAGGGTCAGATAATAGTCCAATTGACAGATTGACAGATATGAAGAAAAACGACAAAACAACAAAGGTCATAATAATAAACTGAATTATAATCAAGAAAACTTGTAAAAGGTAATAATAATAAATGATTAGAGTTTAAAGTGCAAAATAGTAATTTAAAAATATGGATAATAATAAAAGTGCATTAAAAAAAAACAAAAAAAAAACATACCCATTAAGGCCAAGGAAGGACAAGAGGTTGGACAAATCGTTTCTGCACGCAAAGTTCAGGCTTTAGTTTGTGGATTGCCAATGCCTCTGCGGTGCATAAAATATTGATTCGAACCCTCTTCGATCCAGTTCCTTTGACTCTGTAAACTATTTTAAACGAAGAGTCTTTTGGAGCGACCCTTAAATTTTGTTCTTCCTTACCCCTTGATTAGTAAGTTAACCTCATTTGTTATTTATTGTCGAATCCATTTTTTGTGATACAATCCTTTCTATCCTTCTATAGACATACATTTTCCATATAACTATATATACGAATGTACAGCTTAAGTAAATGATTTCGTCGAAAAGAAAATTTTCTTCGCTGAATTCTCTTTTTCTTATTCAATAAAATTTACTATTAGATAACGATTTACGAACAATACATTTTATAAAGTTGATTATTAACTAGTACCTTTTCTAGCTACATTATACTAACTGTATAGTTTGAATAACGAACTAACCTTATTTAGACAAACACTAAAGAGCACTAAATAGTTGTTTCATTCTAGTTTGAGACTAATCAACAATGCACACTTGCAATATCACAGGAGATTCAAACCAGAACCTTTTGATCTTATATGAAACACTTAAACTTTAGACCACTGAATTTGGACTCAATAATTTACCTATCCAGCTTCAATTCAGTTATCTTCTAAAGCTGTTAGTAAGTGATTATCTTAACAACAACAACAACAACAACAACAACAATAACAAATCAATATAACTTACATGCAATACGTATATGTGTTTGATTACTAATTTTTACACGTGGTTCACCTAATTTTAAAATATTATTCCATGCTTCACATTGACACCAATAATCACCAAACCATTCTTCTACTGTATTTTCATCAATTAAACGTATACTTGTTTTACGATTTTGTTTATTTGATATATTAATATTAAATTTTTTTGATAATTTTATATTTAACAAATTACTATATTGTTTAAATGTTTGATTCATTAATAATTCAATATATTCTTTATTATATTCATAACGTGCATTTGAATGAATTGGATTAGTAACACAAACTATATATAATAATATAACAGGTTCTGCAACACAATGTACTATTGCTGGTTGCCATTTAGATGTATATAATATTGATGGAGGTTGTATAATATATTGTGGTATATCTGTATATAATATTTCTTCATCTGGTTTTAATTCATATGTTTTTATATTAAGTTTATTTGATGTAGTTTTCATTTGATAAATTTCATTATGTATCTCCATTAATGATTCACCTGTAATCATTAAATGTTCAAATGAAGATAAATTTAAATTTTCTTGATTTAATTTATAAGTTAGAGTATTACAAGTAGTAAATGAAACATTTTGAAGTAAATAAATATTTAAAATATAAAATATTGGTGACATTTTGTTTAACTAATTGTTTATTCATTACATATTGCAATCATTGAAAACAAGAAAATCTAAGTCAGCTGAATTTATATCTTTTATTTGATTGGTCAATTTAATGAACCAATTACGTGTAAGTATGATCATGATTGGTCAATCATGTCTGAAGTTGTAAACTTTATTAGACCGTAGATAAAAAAATCTTTTTTTAATTATTCCATATTTTTCTCATTAGTCTTATTTTTCTTTTATCTGTATTTTACTACTTATGAGTAACCGTAACTTTATCAACTTGCTAGAAATGGTTACTTACCTATTACTCAACTGTATGAATATTACAGTTGTTCTTCTTTCAAATTCATTTTAAATGGAAAGTTATGAATGTTAAGCGTAGATCGCAGAATACGACTGCTAAATTTAGATACGCTGACTTATATGACCAAACTAATGACACATGCACCAGTATGAGCAGCCAAGAGTTCCGATTGTTCATTTTTCCTGCTACCTTTGCCTGTTAAGTTCAAAACGCCAATCTGAGCCTCCACGATATGAATCATATATTTCAAACAAGCAAAATCAGACCACATCACACCATAAAATAAGAAGTAAAATTTGTACGAGATCAAACCAAAAATAGCTGTGATTACGAGAAACTGTGACTAATAGATTGAGAATAACTTCAGAATAGTAAATCATATAAAAGTAACTAATAGGTCAATTAAGAGCTTATAATAAGAGGAGTACATGTATTCATAGCTTAGTTATTTAATGATTGTTTAATAAGAATATATGTAGAAGTGTTGGTCCATAAATATATCCCAACAGATACCATTCATTATTATTGTTGGGATATAACACGTAGCTTTTCATGAAGCTGAATACCTAAGAATCAAGGGTAGATAACACAGTTAAGATATTTCTAGTCAACTCCTTATTTCATGCCATCTTTGATCCAGAAAAAATATCGGAGAAGGGAATGGAGTAGAGCGAAGCGAAGCGACGAATAATTAACAAGGTCAAAATATGACTCGAGTAGAATGAGTAGATTGGCCTGTCCGAAAGCCAGAATAAGGTATATGGGCCTAACATAATAACCGACACTACACCATCTTCATTAATGATTTAAAGTTAAAATCATCTTCAAATATAGATATAAACAGCGTGTAATGTGGATAGTTTAAATTTTAAGCGGGTCTTTTCTTTTTTAAACGATTTGGTCTTTATTCAGTGAATGATCTACAGTCGAGATACTGAATTGGTTGAAATATTTCAGCCAATCAGATGCTGGTCGACCTTGAGAAGGATATAAATAAAATTGAGAAAAAAATAGAGGAAATAAACACGTCAGTAATCTATTCCGCAGATTCCTAATGTCATATTGTTGTCATTATATAGACCATACTAATAGTGTAAAAAATGCTTATTAACTGTCAATCTATGTTGAATATGCAATAGACAATCAATAGACTAAATTAATGTACATAATTGAATGAAGGAAGACAATCAGTTTTGAATGAGCATAAAGATAATTTGGCGGAAAGAAATAAGAATGACAATTTTATTTGTTCTAATCATTAGTTACCATGATGTTTAGCCAGTTTATTTTTTCACCTTTATTTCTATCAGAAGGGGTTTTGTGGAGAGTTTAGTAATTTCAGTGATTGAAATCATGAGTCAATTGAAGCTAGACCACCACGGAAGACCTGAAAGCACTGGACGACGGTTTCATCCTAGTATGGGACTCCTCAGCAGTGCGCATCCGCTGATAGATCCTGTGTTTGAATCTTGTGAAGGGCGGGATCGTGGATGAGTACTGCTGAGGAGTCTCATACTAGGACGAAATGGCCGTCCAGTGCTTCCAGGTTTTCCATGGTGGTCTAGCTTTAATTGACTCATGATTTCAACTTATATTTCTGTCTGAATTAGAATGAATAAATAAAGAAAACAGTTTTTTACTTTAAAGAAGTGCAGTGAACAAGAACACAATTGGGGGAAATAGAATGTATGTGAATGCGAAATGAGAACACCTTACTAAAATGTGAGAACCATACAGTACATACTTCATTTGAAAAATGTTAATCAATTGTATCAAACTTGACTGTTCTTTTTGCAAATATTAGTCAATCGTCTCAGACTTCATTGTTCCTTCATTTTCATACGAATTGCTTTCTGTTCCCGTTCTTTCTTTCTAGATCTTCGTTAAATACTATCCATGTCGATACAAGTGGCACACACCACAGAAGTATGTCTTTTTTGAAAGAGTTTATGGTTTGTTCCATCCGTATGGCTAAACATATCCGTTGATTTAGGATAGATTATAGAATGATAATTAATTTGACCTATAATAAAATGTCTTCAATGTACTAATATATTTCATTAAAAGAAAGTGATTCTGATGACCTGTTCTCTGAACTAGTTGGTTGAATTCTAGAGTTTTCATACCGTTAGCTGATACCTCTTTGTAGAAATGAACTGTTCAGTTGTTTAATGAGTGTTATATCAAATTGTTTGCATTGACTCATTTATGATTGGTAGGTTTCGTATATTTTGATAGCACCATTTTCTCTTACATTTATGCCGAATAGTTTTCTCTGTTGATCTCTGATCTTGTGATTGATTTACCTTGGATCGCTTATTGGTAACATCTTTAACTCTTATATAGTGTGATATAATTCTCATTTCCACAGGGAGAAATACTTTCTTCAAGTATATGAATACACTTTGCTAACCAGTACTAAGTTAAAATATACTAAGGTTTCCTATCGATTACAATTAACCATTAAATATCAGAAGAACTGAATGAATAAGACGTCTAAAGGTTAGGTGCTCGCCATGAAGCCACAAACTTTCTAGATTCGAATCCTGGTAGGGTTGGGGATCTATACAACTGAAGAGTTCTCTACTAGAACGAAATAACTACTCAAAACTTACTAGTTTTTAATATTTGTTAAACCACATTTAGTTTATTATGTAAACTATCAAGAAGGCAATTATTTTAATGTTTTAAATTGTAGAATCTAAGAAGTAGAACAGTTTTTTTGTGTTTTTTCCTGTTCGTACTAAGAACAATATTATTAGTCATCATCTATTGTAGGTTTAATATTCTACCCAACTTTTTTCTTCTTTTTTTCTTTTTCTTTTTACTAATCTTTTCTATTTTCTCTCTTTCCTTCTTTCTGTTTTTCGTTGAAACAATCAAATATGAAAAAATGGAATGATATTGTAAAGTAATTTAATCAACTATAATTACATCCATTAGTAGTATAATTAAAGATTTGGCTTAATTAAACATTAATCATTCTTACTGGTATATATACATTTATATATATATACGCTTTATTAAGCATGAAGAGATTAAAACACCAAATTAAAGACCTTGAAATGAAGTGCTGTTGTTGTTGCCGTTTTGTTTGTTTGGTTTTAGGGATAAAAGTTTACAAATATTTAATGAATCCCTATTCAGTGTTGCCTATTATTTGCTTAGTTGACTACAAAATGAATTTAATTGAAAATGTAATATGAGTATATCTCATTAGGGAAAACAAATAAACAAACAAGCTAATGTTCTGTATAATTCTGTCATTACAAATGAATGATTTCATTATAATTTAATTTATCATCATTCATAGGTTAGCATGGACAACTAATAATTTATTAAGAAACTATCATTTAATAGGATACATAATTTATTATATATATATTTGTCGTAAGATGACTGAAGTCGAATTGATTAGTGTTGTGTAGATAATATGCATTCGAATGTTGTTATTGAACGTCAAGACAATCCTACTTTATGAAGCTGAAACATGAAGAATTAATGAAGTCATCATCATGAAGGTACAAGTACTTATAAATAGTTGGCTACATAAAATACTCAACATCCATTTGACTACATATCATCAGTAACAGCCTTCTATGGGAGAGAAAAAACGGGCTTTCAACTGGAGAAGAAAATTAGAAAAAGATTATGGAAATAGATAGGACATACATTACGAGAATCATCAAACTGCATCACGAGGCAAATCCTAGTTTGGAATCCTGAAGGGAAGCGAAAAAGAGGAAGGTCAAAGAACACATTACGTCGGGAAATAGAAACAGATATGAAAAGAATGAATAACAACTGGAAAAAACTGGAAAGGATTACCTAGGTCAGGGTTTGATAGAGAGTGCTTGTGGGCGGCCTATACTCCTCCACGAGGAGTAACAGGCGTAAGTTGTTACTAAATATCATTACTTAAGTTGATTGGGACATGTGTTACATCAGTCAGTTAGTTGATCATAAATAACATTGATCCCAGTTGCCATAGATTATCAGCGTAATGAGATCAAGTTATAGAAATTAATAATTGTACTAATTTCTTTGTAGTAACTATTAATCTTAGGTTGATATTTACCTATTTACTATATCTGTTTTTTTTCCATAGTGAACTTTGATAATTCCTTATAAAGCCTATGTAAATCAGGAAAATACTGGGAATACTTTCAACAGTCAGAGTACATTAGAAACCTTCAAAAGAATTCTACTTGATAATGGATCATATTTTCTTTATTGTGATTGGATAATTAATCTCTTTTGTTATTATTGATTTTAAAATAGATCCTTAAATTAAAGTAGTTGTCCTATATATATATGTTATAACTTGTGGACTTGCGCCCAGAACACTGAATTATCGATCGGACCAATTATTGACGCACAAAACCTGTACGAGTAGTTTAGAGTCCTTATCGGTCATTCTTCCTGTCTAGCCCTGCCTGTTAAGTTCAGAACACCAATTTCAGCATCCGCAATATGAATCACGTTTTCCAAACACACTCGGTTTATATACAAAGCAAACAGACCACATTATATCATAAAATAGAAAATAACACTTGTACACTATCTAGTCAAAAGTAGCTGTGAATATGGAAGACTGTAATTCATAGACTGGGCATAACTGAAGAACGGTAAATCGTATAATACTAGTCTATGGGTCGAGATACAACTTGTAATAAAATGAGTATAGTTATACATAATCTAGTTACTGAATAGTTGTACAATAA